GCGAGCGGCGCTACCCAAGCGACAGGGCGACGTCCGAATGTACCTCGCAGTGCAGAGACCTTCTCCTGGAGGGCTCAAGGATTGCTTTATAGAAAAATCAGCCGCAGGGGAGTGCCAACATTCCGATAGCTAGTTGGTACATGGACGTTTCATAAAACCATTTTCTTGATCGTCAATTTTTTTTTTTGCAAATGCCTTTTGCTTGCAGTGTGCCCGGCGATGCCTGCCAAAGTCACTCCACGGCGCGTCGTTGGAAAATTTGCGCTCCGCTTGAGTTTCTGAGCGGTGACCACAACCCAGTTGGCGTTCTTCGCACCCAGCCCCGCCCCGCCCCGCCCTCCTTGGCGGTGTGGACGGCGCAGTCAACCTTGCAGTAACACGAAACAATGATGGTCATAAGAAGGCGCAAAGGACACAGCACGGAGTGAAAGGTGCGGCAAGGCGATGAAGTTATCACAACTTTTACACCCGAGTCCTTCCCTGCTTTCCGTCCTCGTTAAAGCCGGTGACAATAACAGTGCCCCGCCACGATTGTCTCCAGTACACCCTATTTTACAAACGGGTGAAAACAGAAAATGTTTTGTTTTCGATTTTTGAGAGGTGCGGTGGTAACTCGTGGCAACAGGTCTGGCCCATTCGGTTGAACGGCAACAAGTGAAGGCGACTGCGAGGCCACCTTCCAACTGCAACTGCGCGGATGCGGCGCCCTGTCCTGCAGTCCACAGCAATCCCTGCTTGAAACGCGATTGCAAACGCAACCGTGCTGGTGCACCGTCAGGACGACTTATCGGGGCCGATTAGGAAGGTGACGAGGGCAGCCCTAGCCCTAGCCTCGCAGCGAGCCTCTCGTATTAAATTATACTGCCGGGGCTCTCATTGAATAATGCGGGCATGAGCACGCCACAGGCACCGCGCCGCTGAACAGCGACGCGAAAAAAAGGGGGAAAAGGCCGCCGGAGCCGGTATTTGAACCCCGGGCGTTAGCACTTGGTACAGAATCCACACATGGGGATGGTCAGACCATTACCGCGTCCCTACCATCCATTCATTACCTGACGCTCCCCACCGCCTCTCTCTCTCTCTCTCTCTCTCTCTCTCTCTCTCTCTCTCTCTCTCTCTCTCTCTCTCTCTCACCACGTAGAAGCGATCTGCCTTGCCCTGTATTGTTTCCACTGCACCCCAAGGGAGCCCCTTGCTCGGCAATAGCTTCCCTTCCCTCCCCTTCACTTTCCCTCTCTCTCCCTTTCTCTCTCTCTCTCTCTCTCTCTCCCTCCCTCCCTCTCCCTCTCCCACCGACCTCGATCCGCGCGCTGCTGCGCACCCTACACATCTGCAAGGTCACTAAGTCAACGCCAAGGCTTTCAGACGAGACTTCAATTTTTGACATTATGAATTTCCTAAAATTTTTCAGGGGTTGGCAACATCAACGTTTCCGCCGTGGATTGGTGGAAACAAGTAGCAGAGCTTGGAGGGGCTCGGCGCAGCCTCAAAGCATTCCAGCGCCCAAGTCTTGCACATCAAAGAAGTCGGATGCAAAACGAGTTGATTTTCTGCGTAGGCGGCGTCGCGGCGTCGCGGCGTCGCGCGGCAGCCGACAGGGTTGTCACGGCGTGGAATTGGAGCTTCTGAGCTTCCCGTGAAATGTGGCCAACGCTCAGTGGGCCAGAAGACCGGTGGAGGCGGCCAAAATCCTAGACGCGTTTTGCCCTCCTGAGTCGCTAAACGGGAATCGAACCGAACGTGTGACCCCACCAATGGATTGCTCTCCGGACTAGGACCCCATTGGTGGGGTCACACGTTCGGTTCGAGTCCCGTTTGGCGACTCTGGAGCTCAAAACGCGTTGAGAATTTCGACCGCCTCCACCGGTCTTCTGGCGCACCGTGCACCGTCTCGAGGGAGGGCTGCAGTAGCCACACCACTGCTGCACCCTAACGGCGCCTCCTCCACCCCGCGGCCTCCCCGTCACCCCGTCCACCCCGTCCACCCCGTCCACCCCGTCGGAGCCCCGCGGCCGTGCGCCGTGCCGTGCGCCGTGCCGTGCGCCACCCCCCGTGCAGGGTGAGTGACTTGTAACACGGCAGGCTCGTGGCAGGCCCTTTCCCTGGGCCCGGCAGTGCGAGAGAGACGGAGAGAGGCGCGTGGCTCGCCGGGGCGTGCGCGTCCAACACGTAATCCGAGGGGCTGTGAAGGAATCCCCACACAAAACCGGGTCGCGCAGAGAAATGGAAGGGATGACACTCGCCGCGGTGCGCGCGGTGAAGAGGCTGATGAGGCGGTGGACGAACCGAACAGGGAAGGAGGAAGGAACAACACAAAAGTGGCGCCAGGCCAACTTTTAATCAGTACGCAACAGGAATTCGAAACTTTTTGATAAGACAAACTCCAAGTCGACTGTATGGAGGCCGCAGTGCTTTCCACGCCCAAATATTTCACCGTCGTGTCATGCTTCCGCGATTTCGCAGCTTTTTAGGTTGCAACATGCAAATGACGAAGCAGACGTGTGGATAGGAGGAGCCGACAGAGGCAGGAATGGGACGCGTGCTGACGTCAGGACGGCCGTCCGGAGTGACCCTTGGCGTCCCATCTCGAGGACCGTCTTCGAGTCATTAGCCCTTGGCTTATGTCAGTCTGGCGACTCAGTGACTCACCCGCCAAAGCCAAGGTCATCGACCTGCAGACCTTTCTGTGAACGGGTCGTGAAATGGCGGAAACGGACCGCTTGCATCCCACAGTGGAGGCGGACAAAACTCTAGACGCGTTTTGAGCTCCAGGGTCGCTTAACAGGACTCGAACCGAACGTGTGACCCCACCAATGGATTCCTCGTTCGGAGAGCAATCCATTGGTGGGGTCACACGTTCGGCTCGAGTCCCATTTGGCGACTCTGGAGCTCAAAACGCGTCTAGAATTTTGGCCGCCTCCACCGGTCTTCTGGCAAATCCACCGTGCATCCGCGCCTTCCCTCGTGGAGCCTCCGCATCGAGCAACAGGCTCAACCAGCACCCTGCCTGCCTGGCGGCTGGCAGGCACCCCAAGCGGGGCCTCTGCACGCGTCGAGCCCTGCACGGCCTGCAGAACCAGGTCACTGCGCTGGTAGGGTGGCGCGTGCCGCGTCGCCGAAGCATTTTCAGTGAAGAAGGGTGGAGAGTGGATGGAAGCTGGGCGCTGGGCCTGAGGTTTCTCCTTCGAGTTTCTTCTCATTTCCTCCACACTATCCAAGTGACAGGGTCGCAACGGTCTTGACGTGAAAGTCAATTAGCGCGATACTGACACCTCACTATGAAAATGTCGAATCAATATTTGGATTCGGTTTTGAAGCATGAATTTTCGGCGTGCGCTTTCGGCTGCGTTTGATCGCCAGTGGAGCCTGGTTGGCCTGTGATTAAACAGACCACCGACCCTCGGACGGGCAATCACTGATGTGGACGAATATTTCCCTCCCCTCTCCCTCTCGCCTCTCTTCATAACGCCACTCTGTGCGCGCGCCCGGTGGTGCATACAGCTCCGTGATGGTGATTCTGTGGATCTTATTAGAGATATTACTCCCCCCCCCCTTCTCTCTCTCTCTTCGAGTCTCACATGGCTTTTCAGCTGACTTTGGTCAGGCTTCAATATGTTTTTTTCTGTTATTTTTCTTTGTTTGCTTATTGAACAGGTTTGGGGAGGGCAGTGAAAGAAAGAGCGGTGGTTTAATAAAAAAAGATGGTATATTTTTACCATAATATCTTCATAAACAAACTACAATACAAAATGTACATGTTATGAATATGATTACACTATAATATGTATAAATGAAATATGATACATGGGCTGTTTTACAAAAGAGATAGTTTTTTTTTACACGTTTTAATTATTTCATCTGTCAGTATACGCAAAAGATATCTCCATAACGTAAGGATGTTTATAAATTATATCAGGGGAGGGGGAAAGCTTATTTTACAAGAAACAATGTGCGGGGCGAACGCTAGGGCAGCAAGACTAGACGGTCTACATGCAACAGAAAGATTTACAACCGCCTGTTTAAAGATAAGACAGGACGGAAGTGTGCCCGGGAAGTATTCCCAGTGATTTTGACACTTTCACATGAATTACGAGTTAAACCGGGATTTGTAAAATACTTTTTGGATCAATTACTGGACACAGTACGACGCTTCAAAAGAGTCTCGATGACAACTTAAGTACACAAAATCACTGGGAAGACTTCCTGGGCACAGGATAGTCATGAAGCAGTGGGGTTTGGTCCCACTGCTATAGATTCACACAAATATATTTTTGATCCATTACCAAACTTAAGCGTATTTAAATAAAAATTAACAAATTGTACATAAATAAGAGAAACTGTTGTAGTAATCGAATCAAAAATACGTTGCATGTAGTATCTAGGTTGACTTTTCCATAAGGAACAAAAAAGTAAAAAGAAGAAGTTGATAACCACAGACTCTGACTTAGAAAGATAGGACCAACATTTCAAACTTGGTCCAAATTTTGACTGTGGCATAGTAAAGATTTAAAAGAAAGTTAAGAAAGCAAGAAGCGGAGCAACAACAACAACAAACATATATGTACACGGAAAGTGAGCCAACTTGAGTAACCACGACTTGCTGGAAAAAATTATCAAAGACGACCGGCGAAATAACACGAAAAGAGAATGGGCCAGTCTTGCTAAATTGATTAAAACATAATACTTAATAGTGATGAAAACTGAAAAGTTGATATTTCTAGATTTACCACTTACGAACTAGAACCACTTACTTTGCAATCTCAACATCAATATTTCATTTTTTTCCGAGACACATACTCCATACTTAACTATGTGGATTTCTAAATTTTCCCATCAAATAAAACAGCAATATTTTAACATCTTAAATGAAAGAAAAACTCACGGAAAGAAACATGTGGGTGAGAAACACTCTCAGTCTGGTAATTACATGTCATCAGAGGACTAAAAAATTAAATATCTATATTCAAAACAAATAATTTTACATAAGCGTATTTATGACCCACCAGTGCTTTAAATTAAAATTTTTAAACATTTCAACGCAAACCGATAGGTTTAAGCCACGGTATTCACTGGCAACTTGCCCTCTGGGCATATAGGATCCACTAGAGTTCAACGAGTCCGGTTCAACGCGTGGGCATTCGCTCATTTAAAATTACGGAAATAAAGCATGACTGCAAACAACGTACCAGACGTCATCACGAACAAGAGATCAATATTACACGTACAAGGTCAATAAACAAACTGTTCCCGCAATGTTAGTCTCGATCAGGGCTCTAGAACTCTAGAGGAAAAACGTAATCAATATGTGCAAAATAAATTCTGGCGGGTGTTGAGCCAATAACAGACACTTGAATAAAATATTTATATATATAGCAGCTAATGACGTACAGATAACTAACACATATAGTTGGTTCATAAATGTATTTTTAATTTTTATGTTTTTCAATCTATAACCATGGCCGTAGAACATGCAGAAATAAAATCGATTACAAGGACTTCCCTGTATTCATCTTATCCCTACTACCTAATTTGACATTTTTATGGTTATGAATATAAGTACATATTAGTACAAGTAGTGACTTCGACAAAAATGAGTGAAAGAAACCTGGGGCTTTAAAGTTTGATCAGTGAATCTTAAACTGCCTTATCACTCACATATCACTAAACTACACATAACAGAAAAGATTGAAACAGTCCATGTATCAAAAGATATTACTTAAGTTGGCATTTACGACACTTAATGCATAAGAAACACATGTGATATGTAGTGGGGGGAGGGGGAGGGTTATGGTTTGCTAACGAAAAAATGCTCATGTTAATGAAAGTATAGAATACTGACTTATTTTTTGTGTAGGTTTAAAGGCTTTTGTCTATGCTTCTGGGCAGCAATCAATTCGAAAACCCAATGAATACACTGGCCGTGAGGTGGCTCAACTACACACCGACCATTTTTTTAAGTTTATAGCCGAGCAGGCGAATTACCAAACGCGACTAAAAGGGGAATGGAAAATACGATTTTCTTGATCAGTGACACTGTTAAATGCGAAAAGAATTAATTTGCCCAGAGCAGTGGCGGCCTTGACTACGGTTTGGCGTTGAGAAGAACTCAACGTAATCTACCACAAAATATAGCACTAACCTCAGAGAAAAGAACGTATCTACACATCCTGCAAGGCATGAGACCAAGAAATTATATTCAGTCCAGGGTGGTATGAGCAGTAGTAACTGCTGACAATAACAATAGTAATAAAGATAATGAGCAAAATAAAACGAGCTTTCAACCCCTGCAATCCAATTTCATCGACCCGAGCGCCAGAATGGGAACTACAATGTTCTGCCTTGAAATGACTACAATTTCTAACGACAAAGAAAGCAACAGGGAACTGTAAAATCTTGACATTGAGACATTTAAATAGGTACAGACTTGAATTAACACAATGGGAGATCCAATATTAGCACTAGTCCAACTATATATTTACATTCACCAGCCATACATCCTATCATAATATCAATAACCCTCGCGATGAAACAAACATCTTTGATTATCCTCCACATACAGGAATACTCATTATATGCGATTTGACTTGGCCGACGGCGCACTAGCGCTCGCCGACTCGGGACTCTACTTACAACGTAACACAGACACACAAAACTAAAACGAAAACACGGGGCACTTAACAATTAATGAGAAAGGTGGTATCACCCCAGTCATTGTTGACACCGATGTCGGACAGCATGTCCGACACGTCGGGTGTGCAACTAAAATCTAGGTGGGAGCCTGAGCTAGAAGAGGCAGTGTCGAACGTGTCAAAGTCGGTGGTGATGTTGTCCAGGTCGATGTCCATCCGGAACTCTGGCAGCAGGTCCGTGAGCGACTCGAGCTCGGACAGGGAGGGTGTCTGGGCGCCAAACAGGGTGGGGTTCTCCCCCGGCCTGAGGCCGGCCGCCGCCGCCATGCCCGTGGCCGCGGTCTCCGACTCGCAGTCGAACTCCTCCTCCTTGAGGACGTACTCGCTCCGGTCGTGCATCTCCTCGTCGATGCCCTCGTCCACGAAGTCGTCCTCCTCGACGGGCTCCTCCTTGATGTGGTCCTCAGTCTTGAGGCGCGTGAGGGACCCGAGCCCCAGGGCCTGCCTCCGCTGGGCCGTGAGCTGGCGCACCCTCTCGTTGTCCTGCAGGGCGTTGAGCGGCGTGAAGCAGTCGGTGCTGCCCACGGCGCTGGACGAGAAGGTGATGTCCAGCATCACGGAGGTGGACGACTCGTCGTAGAACGTGGCGGACTCGGGGGAGTCGGGCACGTCGCAGGACGGGCTGGAGGGCACCTTGGCGTGCGGCGTGCTGGACGTCAGCCTGGGCTTCTTGGCCTTGCTACCGCTGCTGCAGCGCGCGCGCGAGGACGGCCGGTGCGGCGTGCTGGGGCTGTCCGGCGAGGGCGTCTTCTTGGCCCTGTCCTCGGGCTTGTTGTTGTTGTTGTTGGAGTCGGACTTCTTTGGCTTCTTGACTCGGGGGGTGGTCACCTTGGGCTGCACCTTGACCACCTTCTTCCGCGGCCGGTACTTGTAGTCCGGGTACTCCTGCAGGTGCAGCTGGCGCAGCCGCTCCGCCTCGTCGATGAAGGGCTGCCTCTCCACGTCGGACAGGGTCTTCCAGCGGCGGCCCAGGCGCTTCGAGATCTCCGCGTTGTGCATGTCCGGCTGCTGTTCGCAGATCTTCCGCCTCTCGATCTGCGACCACACCATGAAGGCGTTCATCGGCCGCTTGATGTGGTTGGGGTTGTTCTTCTTCGTCTGCAACAGAGAGAAAAACAGCGGGTCAGCCGGGTGACAAATCGAGGCGAGTAGTTTTTCCCGGCCGCTGAGCAGCAATCCGGGAGCGATTTTATTTGGGCCGCTCGCTTGGCGCGGCTTGGCGCGGCTTGGCGCGGCCTGCTGCTCGGCTTGCTCGGGGTTTGCCTGGCTTAGCCAATCATCAATCAGGCCGTCGGCCGGCGGCGGTCCGTCCGGGCGACGCCAACAAAGGCCCCCGAAAGGGCCCCAAAAGCCTAGCCTCATTTTTCACCCTGATTAAACACCAAACACGTTTCAATCCGAGGGGCGACAGCCGCCTTGTTTACAATAGGGGTCAGTCCGAGCGGATGGCCGGAAAAAAAAGAAGATTGAGGTATTCGAACCCCAGCCCTTGCCATTCACGCGCGCTTTTTTAGGGGTATGACAGAGACGTGTGCAACACGCCTCGCACCACGTTGCACAACAGAGTGAGACAGATTGATGAACTTGGGCGTGAGTGACGTCACGGCAGCGTGGTCCAGGCAGGCCCTCACGCTGCTGAGAGGCAGACTGCAGTGCTCAGTGCGTCCTATCGCCAGGCTCTTTCGGATCAGTCTGTTCGGAAGACTGTAACGGCCATTTTCAGCCCAGCCTTGACGCTTTCAAGACGGACGGTGCAGAATATCGCTCTCTCTCTCCCGTGGCCCTAATCGGTCCTAACCGCATGCCCTGGTGGTGTCTGGCGGTGGCCCTTTCAAAGAGGCTTAACCTATTTCCAAACTCATTTCAATGATAAAAGAAGGGGGCTGTCCTTCACGCTCAGCGTCTCCCGCCGCGTCCATGACGGCGTCCATGACGGCGTCCATGACGTCCTCGAGGTCCACGACGTGGATCGCGCAAGAGGCCTCCGCCGCTTCCTCTGACCACCGAGGACCGCCGCGTGGAAGTCGACTGGCAGTGGCGAAACCCCGCGGAGGGGGAGCGGATGGTTCTGGTTTTGTCGTCCTCTTTGCTATTCCCTTTCATTTTGAGGCCAGCTGTTTCGTACGGGGAGGAGGGGGCATGCCACTCACACAGACACACGCACACACACCGCAGGGTGTCGTCTGCTGTTGGAGGGTGAGGAGTACTTCGGAAAGCTCGCGCGAGCTCACGCACACATACACGCACACACATACACACGCACAGCGGCGCGTTTTGAAACTGGCGCGACAAAGTCCCACTTATTCCCTTTGTGTCGGCCGGTCAGCGCTGAGTGGTGTCAACAGTGTAGGGGCAGGCGAGACGAGACGACACGCCGCGACACGGCCGTCCATTAATAAAGACTTGCCAAATTTTTTAAAAAAAGAACGTCCAGTCGCGTGACCGATTACTCGAGCGAGCAAGTTTTTGGTCTGGCCCCCAATTTACGTGGCAGGAAGGTCGGGCAGGGCTCAGCCGCTGTGTGATTGGCCAATGATAGTTCCAGCCGGGGACTTGGAAGTCATCAGGGCCGAGGTCCGCGTGGGCGAAGAGAGAGAGATAGAGAGAGAGAGAGAGAGGGAGAGCGTGCGAGGAGCAGGGCACGGCGATTATCAAGGTGGGTCTTCCTTCAATCATGGGGCAGCACGAGGCACACCGCAAAGAAAACCCCCACAACAATTGTTCCCTTAAATTCGTATCAGATTTATCACACGTAGGGCGCATCTTTACAGCGGTCAAACTATCGAGGTTCGTTCTATTTTTTTGTCAAGCTCTAAAATAAGCCTTTCTCCACAAAAATTTTTTTTAAGAAAAGGAAGTGACTAGAACTAAATCCAGCAAAAGGGTTAAGCTGCTAGGCTGGGGGAACAACATCGACGACTATTTTTTTTTTTTTACATTTTTAAAAAAATCCTCGTGGCGCATAGCGCCCATTGCGTGGGTGTTTACTGAGGCTTGATTGGATGCCAGAGGTACGCCCAGCGAGCGAGAGAGGGAGAGGGGGGAGGGGGGAGAGAGCGCGTAGAGAAAGATGGTCGCACGAGATTTGGTTCAAGCTCGTCCCGAGGGCCGACCAGGGGCCGACGGCCGAGGGTCGGGTAAGCCACGACAGGCAGACCAGAGTCGCAGCAAAATAGGAGCTGGGCCATCCCGGGCCATCCCGGGCCATCCCGGGCCTCGCTGGGTCGCTGCTCTCATCCACCGCCATAATGGTATCGTGTTTGATGGAAAAGATCCCCGCCGAGACGCACGGCCCCATGATGATGGCTCCAAAGCCAGGTCCACGTCCAGGACGACGACTGGAACTGAGCGTGTGACCCCACAAATGGGTTCCTCGTTCGGAGAGCAATCCATTGGTGGGGTCACACGTTCGGGTCGAGTTCTGTTTAGCGACTATGAAGCTCAGAACGCGTCTAGAGTTTTGGCCGCTTCCCCACCGATCTTCTGGCCCACTGTGCACCGGCCATTGTGGTGGTGCACCAGGGCCATGACGAGGCCGTGAAGCAAAAAGAATCGGGAAATTGAAATAAGAGTCCCAAATGGTTTTTTTTTCCCGCCGCGGCCACCACCGGCACCACTGGGTCAAGCGGAGGATGCTCCCCCTTTTTCCGTTTCCGGTTCGAGGCGTGAGGCAAACTTCTTCCCTTTTTCCCTAATTCGTTTTCGCTTTTTCCTCTCACGGGATTACCAGATGAAACAAGGCCGCGCCCGTCCGCCCAGCAACAACGTCGGAAGAATATTCACACACGGTGGGCAAGGTAATGGTTTGCGCCTTTATTTTGTTCTGAGTGATGGGCCTGTGCGAGGCTAGGCCAAGCCCCACGGGGCCGAGGCAGCTACACTCTGTAGGCCTTATCGAATTAAGGCCTAATTCCTGGAAAGCTGGAAAGCCATCCTACACTGGCAGCAAGGCCCGCGGGACCCAACTCGAAAGTGCTCGGGCAGCCTTCGTCCAAGTTGGCACCGTTAAAAAGAGATGGAAGTAACATTAATTTGGCTGCGCGCGATGAACCAGCAAATATTTCCAGTGCAGTCTTTCCGAGCCATTGAGCGGCCGAGGGCGGGACGCTACTATTGCTTACTAACAGCCTCTGTTATATGTAGCGAGAAAAATCCGGTCGGAGGCGCCGCGCCGCGCTCGCCCCGCCTCGCTTCGGAGCGTCCTAAGAACTGCTCGGGCGATTCTGATAAACGCCCCTCTGCCCGTAAATTACCGGAGTCGTGTTGCGTGGTGGCGCATGAACCTTGACTCCGATCACGCCCCAGCAAGCCTCACTGCTCCTGACACATATCGACCGACGAAAAGGAAGGAGGAGGGAAAAAAAGACGAAAAAAAAAAAAGCGGCGGTGTCCGTATTCGAACCCACGCCCTGGCGGTAATTGCGCGTGCTTGCCATTCATCTGCCCAGTGTAACGACACCCTACATCAAAACTTGCAGCGGCCGGTAACGATGGGCCGCAGGGCGCCGCGGGGCACAAGGCTTTTCACGATAAAAATATACGAGTCGGAGCCCCTCCCGCAAAAAGACCCCAAAAGAGTTCCAACACAATGCCCCTCGTTTTTTTTCGCAACTTTCCAAGCTCTTTTTTTTGCGGTTAAATTCAAACAACGTTGTTGTTGTTGCTGCTGCGAGGCGGCGCCCTGGTCAAGTCCACATCATTATAGCATCGCGTGCATTTCCTCCTTTCCGATAACGTCTCATAAATCTTGAGCTCATTCAAAAAGTTTCCGTGCCGAAGGACGGCGGCCCTGCTCGCCCTGCAGGAGCGCTAAGGGCAGTTGCGCGTCGCGAGGGAGGGGACTCGAGTAGTTTAAAATTACTAATTATCCTACGACGGCGAAGAAAAAAGAAAGAAGGTGCCGGGACTCGAACCCGCGCCCGGTAGAGGCGTGACGGATAGTGGGTAACCTTGGGCGGGCAGAAGACGGCCGGCGGGACTGGAGCGCTTCAAGGGTCTGTTGCGGCCAATGCGGACAAAAGGCGATTCGTGCAAGCCTTGGACCGCCTGGACTGCACCACACCGCAAAAAACAACAACAACTTTCAAAAAGGACAGAAGGTAATAACTTGGTGTCTCGTAACCCAAAAACCAAACCGAAAGGAAAAAAGAAACGGGCTGCAGTGGGATTCGAAGGCGGCTTTTTGAACACGTGTCGAGACAAGGTGTGCCAAAACGGACGTGCCCCGATGAATAATAAACTTAGCAGCACGCGGCCGGGCCGTCAAGTACCTTATCGCGACAACCCTCTTCCGCGTCACACCGTGCGTCCGTCTGTCTGTCTGTCTGTCTGCCTGTCTGTATGTCTGCCCGTCTGTCTGTCTGTCTGTCTGTCTGCCTGTCTGTATGTCTGCCCGTCTGTCTGTCTGTCTGTCTGTCTGCTGTCTGTATGTCTGCCCGTCTGTCTGTCTGTCTGTCTGTCTGTCTGCCTGTCTGTATGTCTGCCCGTCTGTCAGCCGGTCTGTCAGTCTGCCTGCCCGTCGGTCGGCCTGTTTGTTCGTCTGTCCTGCCTGCCACCCTCGTCCCTTCCCCCGAAAATCGACTTCTTGAATCAAGGAAAAACATTTCCTTCTTCAAGAAAAGTATTCCTGACATTCAACCTCTTGTATCAATATAAATCAACAAATTATCAGATTTTTTTTCGAGACTTGAAAAAACTGAAGAACCCTTTTTTGGCCCTGTGTGCGCGCGTCCGCCCGTCCGTCCGTCCGTCCGTCCGCCCCGTTACATCGCAGTGTCACTTTTGAGTCACGCCGGTCAGCTCCTTATCAGCCGGAAGTCGCTGTTCGCAAACGTGCCACCGCGCTGCCGTGTCTCGCCGATTGGGCACGCGTGCCGCTTTATCCAAAACCAAAACAACAACAGCAGTGTCCGATAGCGCTCGCAAAGCAGCTTTCTGCAGTATTTAAGAGCGGCGCGCGGTGTCCAAGGTGAGTCGTCTTCTCGCTGTTTCGGGCGGCTGGCGCACCACCGCGCTTCCGTCCGCCTGACCTTGCAGGCGGACGGACAGACAGACAGACAGACAGACAGACAGACAGACGGAGAGCGAGCAATCGGTACGGACACGGCACGCCGACTGCATACTGAGCACGCCGCCTAGA